AAATCAGTGAAAGTGTAATTTGTGTGCTAACAAAAAGAGGAAATCCTCTGAAGTTCATAATTCATAAATTTTAGTGGTATTTTCCTGCCTGGTGTTGCTATTCGAGAGGAGATAGTGGACAGCAACAGCCCCCTAAGAAAAAAAGGTGACATATCTGAGAGCTAACCAGAACTGGCAGCTTGTTTGAAAAATGCTATGTGGAATAACACTGCCATCACTGTAGTAGGGAATAACAACACAGTCAAACCCGAGTAAGCCCTGCAATTTCAGAAGATCACTTTCAGCTGATTTTAGAATCCTCTTGACTGAGGGAAACATGCAAATAAAGAACAAATACATTATTTTCTTCTGCATGAAAAAATTGTGCCTTGTACTAAGACATCCCTCTGGACATGGTTTGTATCTTTGCTCTTCAGCAAACAGAAAAATTCCTACATTTAAAATGAGAGGATGTATGATTATTTCTACAGATGCCTGCATCTCTTAGCTAAGCCTATGCCTGAGGCACACTTGCCTCGTGAAAACTTTGGCTGACTGAACTTTCCTTTATCTACAGCTTATTTTTCTCCATTGTGTCTTGTCTTACAGTTGAAGAAGAAAACAGTGATCACCCTGGCTACTTGACAGATAATCTATCAAATTGGTGAAATATTTCAAATTTCTTTAACATTTGTATTGCATATACCCTGAAATCATGATTTGTGTAAACAGAGTATTTCATCCATCCTCACTTAAGTTCCCAAAGGGTGACGTATACACTCACTGCAACATTTTGAATGCAAACTGATTAGAAGTTACTAGTTCAGATAAGGAAAGTATTTGTAAAGTTCCTGCCTTGTTTAGGCCCTTTTGTATGTTCCACGCAAAATTTAAAACACACTGTACCATCTTACCTGAAAAGATGATTAAAACTGTCTTTTTGGACAACTACTTCATTAAGAACAACTTTTCAATAGTCTTTGGGAAACCTTTTACCCCTTCCACCCAGCTGTATATTGAAGCCTTTTTATTTCTGGTAAAGGTAGATTCCTTCACCACTTCACTGCTGGCCTTGTAAGTTGCTGATGGTCAATAAAGTCAATGTGATATTAAAACAATCCAGCTGTCTTTGACTGCAAAGCAGGTGATTTTTTTTGCAGGTATCTGTCACCACAGAGAATAGCCAAGAGCACTTACTTAGACCTCAGTGCTGCCCTAGTTACACGCATGTGGAAATGCATACTCTGAACAATCCTACTGAGCAAGTCCCACCACATAAAGATAGTATGGGGGTAGGTCTTACAGACTCAGGGCCTCACTAATGACTATGGCATACAGTCACTACTGTTGTCAGGAGGTGCAGTATTGCTGGAGCTGGTGGTGGTGTAGTAGGTACAAATCTAGTGTCATGCATGACAACAGGCACACAGAATATTAATTGCATCGTTATTGTACTTTTTTGTTGGCCTGGTTTTGAGTTGCAAAACTGGAATTAAACATAAATCAGTTAATTATCATTCCATGCTGATAAGTATATATTTAACGTTGTTTATGTAGTTTTGTGATCTTACTGAAAAGCCCACTGTAATTCTCATGTAATTAAAAAGTAGCCACATGATTCTTGTGTCCAAGCAACTATGTTTTATTTTTTAACCTTTAACCCTAGTTGTACTCTTCATCTTTTAATACTACTTTCCTCTGATCTTTCTCATGACACTGCTAATTAATTTTGTTAACTCACACTAGCTATAATGTTGCTTCTCCTTGACACAAAAATACGCAGCTGAAGGAACAGAGGAATTAATTTCTATCATGGGACTATAGGCACTTTCAGTAATTGTTTATAATCTGTATCATTTCATGGAGGAATATAAGTGGAGAAATCAAAATGTCCTTGTTTGTTCATTTTTAAGCACTAATATATCTTTCAATAGCAGTGTATGTTGTATGACATACATTCATGCATTCATGATGAACTTCATCTAGACACCAATGGTATCCACCAGAGTCTTTTAATTAATATCATTACTCTTTGTTTCAAGCATACTCTGAATATCTCAGGTGCATCTAAGTTATTTTTCAGCATATTTTACAGTATGATCAGTCAGTGCTTAGACAAAAAGTAGGTGGCTTATACATCCTTTGGTTTATTAGTATCATGAAATTCATATGCCTCTCACTGTCCCAGAGATACAAAAACCTGTACTACTCACATTCCCAGTTGACTTATTTTTGTATGTGTTCCTGATCTAAGCTCACTAGCTTAAACAATTCTTTACAAATATCATGAAACAGAATAAACATTCTGCCTTGTTGGTGAGCTGTTAGTGACACACTAATATTTTCAATCTGGCAGATAATCGCTTATGTAACAGATAGCTGCTACCAAGCTTGTCAGAAATGTGTGGCATTTAAGTTAGGCAATCTGTCGCCTTGACTGAATGAAAAGCCTCTAACACTGCAAATTCAAAAGGCAGAAATGTTTTGCTGTAGTTAAATTGCGTTGCTACTGACAGCTAGTCCTAGCATTCAAGGCAGAACTAAAATAAGCCTAGAGACATGAGGCAGAGGTCCCTTTGGCCATTGCGGGACCATTTCTGAGAAGAATGGGCATAGTATTCACATTAGTCGTATCTCAAAAGTTGTGCTCTTTCTGACACCGGGCAGGAGCTCAAAGCATGTGAGCGTGCTGAAACAAACACAGCTGGATTTGTGCGAGATGTCATGCCAGCTCTATGCTCTTCCAGGGTAACTCAAACACTGTAAGCACATCTAAGAGGACCTGCAACCTGGATCATACATGTTGCTTATTTTTCTCCTCTGGGACTTGTCCAGAAAGAACAAGTGTAGCTGTCTTAATGAAACCCCAGCAAAACCTTTCCACTTTCCATATTGTCTGTGGTGTGTCTCCATCATTTAGCAATATTTACAATATGTGTGTAGTGATCACATCTTTCAGCACTGCAATAAAGCTGGGTCTGGAATGATGATAAACAGATGTTCACCAGCCTGTGGCTACTAGAACATTTTTAGGCAACAAAGGAAGTGCTGGATCACTCTCAGGTGATGCTAATGCAATTTTGATGACAGGGAATTTAGGGTGAAATGCTTTTCTTCACTACAACAGTGCAATGAAATACAAGCAATAATGTCAGATTTCTTAAATTTTTTTTTTAAGAGAACATTAGCTTTCAGTCAATATGCCCTTTAAATACTATTTTTTTGGGACTCTCAGCCATTACATTATTTGACTCTGTAAGAGAACTTTGATTAAAAGCACTTTGAGGAAGAATGTACATTTCTGAACACACAAAATGCAGTTGTTCTCCACTTAGTAAACTGTATGAAGGAAAATATTTGCAGTATCCTTGCTTTCACCACTTTCATATGAAAAATAACTACTCACAGTTTTAATTACTTTTAAAATGGCTAAAAAATAATGACTCCTTTTAAATCCAATTCAGTTTTTGCCATAAAAGCCTGAACCTGTCTTCTGAGAATAGTTGTTCTTTTAGGTATCCAAATCAGCTTAAGAATGAAAGTCCAATTTTAAAACTGATTTTAGGTGGCCAAAAATACAAATAGGCACCTAATCACTTTTATTCTATATGGTCTATAGTAAGAACCACATCATCAAATGTTGGTTAAGTGTTTGAAAGCTAGGTGTATAATCAAAGTTGGACATCTAGGCTCCCCCTGGGATTGACAGCAAAGGTAAATACCTCTGAAGGTTACATCGTCCTACCTGCTAAAGAACAGGCTGAATCAATTCCTGGAAATATCTTTTCTTGAACAGCATGAGAAATTCTTGATGCACAAACTTCTAAAATAAATCTCCTTCCTAATGTCTTCATGTCAAGATCTACTTCTGAAGACCATGTTCAGGCCCTCTCTGCATCTCCAGGAATTGAAATACTTTTGAAAGCGTTCTGTAAGACAATTGAAATGTCTAATTCTTGTTGTGAGGTTCAATTATTCCCCAAGTACTTTGAAGTTTCAGATGCTTTTCGAAATGATGTCTGTGGGGCAGATGCGTTCTTGTAATTCTTTTCGCATTATTTGTTATGATTAGGTCTCTTCCAGAAGAAGTGAAATAGACCATGGACTAATGGGGCAATTGGAAAAACTAGTGCCACTCATCTTTGAATATTGCCACATTGCTCTACGGCGTGTAGGTTTGTCTGCAGGGGAAGGTGTTACTTAAGGATATTTTGTCATTCTCTGCAGTCAAGTCACATTAATTTCCTCCCAAACTAGTTTGTTAACAAACTTAGAATCTAAGACAAGATGAAAACAATAAAAGAGACATACCAGAGGAATCAGAAAATAAACGGTCTGCTGTTTATTGTGGGTCTAAATGACTTCAGAAAGATGACTTCATTTGTCTCTAAAATTCAAATGCCCACTGCGTAAGACTTTATATTGTTCCACAGGAAGTATGTTTTATCACTGGATCAAGACACTTCTGTGTGCTGTAAAAAAATGTTTTACATGATGTAAGCTTACAATAAACAGCATAAGGAAAAAGAAAGACCATTTTCTTTTCAGTGTATCTTTTTTAACCCTGCAGAGGTTTCCCCAGCGTAACACTTTTTTCTCTAAATGTTTTGAGCTCTGTCTTAAAGTTCGTGTTAGTTTAGGAGGGGAAAAGAGGGAACATAAATGAAGCAGGAATACATTTGGGACACCCATAATGAAGCTATCAGCATAGACTATGATTAATATAGGTGATTATGTAGAGAAAGGTATGATCTGCAGTTTGTATAAGCTCCTGAGAGGACTGTCACATTCTCTCGGTTTATTAAGCTTGAGAAATCTCTTCTACCTTAAAGGGGCACAGAAGAATTGTCATTTAAACTACTTTCAAGGTGAAATAATATTAGGCTTTCCAACAGTGTAGCTCAAGTAACATTTAAGATTCCCCTAACTATATCACACTGTCCTTAACACAAAGCTTGCCAAGTCTACAGGAGAAACTGTTGAATGGATGGAGAGACCCTGCCAGGGTGAGAGAAATGAATTCAGTTCCTGTATTCTCCATGCTGCTTCTTTTTTCCTTGTGGCAATACTCCAAGGGAAAAGGGAGACTTGATGTTTTGCCTATCCCTTTCAGCTTCCTCATCCTCATCATATCTTTCATCCTCATCTTCATCTTCGGCTTCGCTATGGTGAGGGCTGGAATGCTGAGAGACAGAAGGTGATGGTGGCACTGATGAAGGCCTGGGGTACCTGAAACCTTCCGTCTGGTAGAGAGAGAAGCAAGTTGTATGTATTATCACAGTGTTCCTCAATTGGTTGTATACAGCAATTTAAGGCTATCCACACTTCAAAGGAAACCAAAGGTGGGGTGTAAGCTAGACCTCCTCTGCACTCTAAAATTAAACTCCCTTGAACCCAGATCCCCTCAGTCCTTCTCTGCCACTAAGGACAGGCGTGTATGGCAGTCATCTTTAGTCTGTGCCATAAACAATATACTGCCCTTCCAGCACTGCTTTTTGCAAAATATGACTATCTTTAGTGAGCCTTAAAACAATCAACACAACCCAAAATTCTTCTGTACTCTGTAGTCAGAATATGCTTATTGAAATTCAGAATTCAGTCTGAAGTTTTAAAACAGTTTTCTAGTTATAATGTCAGCATCTGCAAAACCAGAACCAAGCAAGGGGTTTTGGCCTGAGCCTCCTTTCTGCTTCTTATTTAAAAAAATGAATTGCTCTCTGGAGGTGTCTGGAGGTTTGGTTTCAAATAATATGGTTCTTGCATTGGATCTGAGCAGCCTCCCTTCTCAAATTAGTGCTAATATGCACTATGCAAGAACTGTTTGAAGGTGTGCCTTTAAACTGACCCCTTGCAGTTCCAGCCACAGCCTCCTCCTCACATACCATGTTTAGATGAAGGCAATACTTTGCCACGCTTTCCCTAGAACATTCTTTCCCAGCTCCGCTTCTATTTGGTTTGGCAGAACATCTCCATGGCATTTATCAGAAGCAAAATTGGAAGCTGCCACTCTTCTAATAGGAATTTCAAGGGCCAGTTCCTCAGTTGGTCTAAAGTGGCATAGGGGACTCCCATCCAGGTCACTCTAAATCACCTGAAGAACTGTTCCTGTACTGCACCTGGTACCCCTAGTGTTTGCATCTGATACCATTACAACTCCTGACTGGAGCTTGGGTCTACAACTTGTTGAGCTTTTAACTATGAGTTCCTACTTTCCTTCAGTTAAAACAAAACTTGCTATCTCTCTTCTCTCTCTTTCTGTTACACACACACATACTCTTTCTCTCTTTCTTTGTAAAGTAGCTAAAATGCAGATGAAATCACCTCCAAAAGCAGACTTTACCTTTGGTGGAGCACTTGGTTCCATCTCAAATTTATCTGGGAATGTTCTGCTGAGGGCCAAGTGTCTGGCATGCATGTAATACTGTAATGTAAAAGAGAAGCCTTTACAAGTCAAGGAAGGCTTGGGTAGATTTAAGCAGGAAAAAAAGGAACATAAAATGAAGATCTTCTAAAAGGTGATGCTGAACAAAGGCTAAACATGTTTTCAGCTAAGGAGAATCCAACTGATATTGCTGCTTGTCATAAATACATTGCTGTGAAGTAGTGAGCCGTTCATGTTAGATTCACACTGAAGTAGAGTCTGGAACAGAAGCTGAATAAGGTTCCTGTAAGACTAAGATGTATCAAGATGGAAACCAGCACTTGTCTCAGTCAGTGCAGTTCTTATGGAGTGATAGGTATTCTTTATCCCTCAAGATAGAACTGGCTCTTTTTTAACCAGGAAAATTTACATCTTTAAGTGTGCATGTTTATACGTGTAAACTTTGGACTCATCCTTGCATTGGAAGCATGTGTAACAGTTACAGAGAAGTAACATTTATGAGTTTACTGAGGTCTGGTATTTAAGAATTTGGCAAAAATATTTATGGATCCACTATATTCACGAGTCTCCATCACATGCACGGAAAAAATAGCTTGTTGTGTCAGGGTCTTATGCTGTGTTGGGAATCAAATAAACAGAAAGGTTCTCACACAGATATCAGAGCAGGACAAAGTCCAAAATAGTTACAAAACTGATATATGTGCATCCACTTCTTTGCTCCTGTGGACTTGAGAATACTGTTTTGCTACGTCTTCTTAGTAGATGGTGCTGCAGTGTTTTCTATGTCAAATTAAAAACACTGTTTTGCCTTTAAGGCACAGAGGTAGTTTCGGAGTGTTGAGGAGCCACAAGGCCCAGCAGCATTTTAGGAAGAACAGGTAGGATTTTTGAAAGAGTCCAGATGACTTTGGAGCACAAATCCAACTTAGTGTAGGGTTGCCAGTGTCGTCAAAGACACAAGCTTGTCTTTAGCACCAGGAGTACAAAGACTTCAGTGTGACTGGCTTTTGCTCTAACCTATTCAGTTAGTCATGTCTCTCCTTACCACGGAGAATGGAAGCATTACACCGAAATGTAAAGCCAGGCTTTGCCTTTAGCACCTTTGAGAGGTGCTTTTCAGAACAGGGATGTCTCCTTGCATTGTAGCATGATGCTGAAGACTGCTAGTTAGACCTATGTGTCTGGAATTTTTAATACCTCTATTACATAGTTTCACACACCCTGCCTAGGTATCTCCAGTCCAACAGATCTGAGAGTCTCTCGGTTCGGTTTCTTTGGATGATCCTCTGGCGACGGGACTGCTGACAAAATCCGTACAGGAACTGAGTCAGCTGGTTGCATGACTCATCAGGTGAGCGGAACCTCCTGTCAACTATGTAGATGCCTGAAGGACACAAAAATGTGAAGGTGAGTGGAACTGAAAATGGGATCTGACCTCTTCCATTCTACCTTCTGTCACATAGTCGTACAAACGTTACATGTATTATATGTTCTTTTTAATGTTGTGAGGCAGCTATAATTGGAACATTTGTTACTATTCTGATGGAATGGAAAGCTGCAGAGAAACATGTATTTTTTATTTTAATTTTCTTTACCTTTCAGGCTGAAATTCAGCAAATTATTCAAAACTCAGAAGCTTTGTTGTTGTTGTGTAAGTATGTCCAAAAGGATTCAAGAGTTTCTGGATAAAGACATATCATTTTTATCTCCCATAATTTTAAAAAGACTGACTGCTTAAAAAAATAATCTAGTGCTTTCCTAGTTTGCAGTAGAATTTAGAAGTGTGGATGGTCAGAATTAGCCTGTAGGAGAGAGGCTGTGTTTTCTGTAGAAATACAAGTGTTTCCATAGAGATAGCTAACCGACATACATTAGTTGATATACAATTCTGGCAGAGACAGGGCCAAGGTAAACTTTGTCTCCATGTAGTTTGTCCAGATCAATACTTTATTCTTGCTACCTTCCTTACACCAGGGTGTTGGGAAGAAGAGGGTACTAGACCTCAGCTATCTTAACGGACAAGACAGACGCACAACTACCTTAACTGAAGTGCCCGATGTCCCCTAGGAATGTACAGTAAGTTATGTCAACGCTCACATCTATGTTTTGGCAAAGAAGAGCAAGTGACCTGTGCTCTCAGTCTGTGACCTTTCTGCAGGCTCTCAAAGACATGTCTACCCAGGCAGGCGTAGCTATATTTTGCAACTGGCTCTACTCCTGCCCCTAGGTCTGGCCATAGTTGGTACTAGTGTGGAACTGTCATTGCCTGATTGTACAGACAAGCCAAGGTACTTAGAAAGAGGCCCTAGTTTGGGCATATTTTCAGTATTGTCTTGACACACCTTGGCTACCCTCCTTCTCACCACACTCCAATCACGAACCATTTCGAAGCCTTTATGAGCAGATTCTTATTTGTAAGTATGTTCCTTTTATTTTCACAGGTTTATTTTTTAGTGTACATGATAATTTACTCTTTGTTTGGTGGGGGCAAGTTTCACTGGCCTCAAAATCCTGGTACATCCTTCTTGGACTATTCAAAGAGAAGCAGATTTTCACTGCTTCTTTTGAAGGGCTCAAAGTGTTACACTGTAACCAGAGGCATTAAAGGGAAGTGCTGGGAGACTCTAGAGCAGTATGAGGAGCGCTGAGTTTGGAAGGATAAAGCAGACAAAAGGTTAAAGGGAGACAAAAGAGAGAGAACCTGGAAAGAGTTTGGATAAATATGAAAGCTTGAATGGCTTGTTCAACATAACGAGATATTCAGAGCTCTGAATATATTCCCTCAATGAACTCCATTGCGCTAGTGAAAGCATGAAATTGAGGAGTAACAGCATTGTTGCTGTGCTTTTTGCTTTCCTAACTCAGAGGCGGTATTTTGATACGGTGTTAAAAATTTTACCATAAGCCGCTGGGTCAGCAACATGCTCCTGCATGAAACAGCCGAATCCAGAAAGGTTTGTGGTTACACTGGGAATGCCCATCACAGTACATTCAGCTGCCAAAAGAAACAGACAAAAATAATTTCAGGGCAATATGCTTTGAATGGTTTCACCTTGAGAAAAAAGAAAAAGAAACAGGCAGACAGAAGGTCCCATAACACTAGAGCTGCTCTAAACATGTCAAGTGAAAACTATTATGCTTTGTTGTGGATTTGGAGAAAAAGAAAAAAGAAAGAAAGAAAAAGAAATTTTAAAGAGAAAATTTCACATTATTTTGTGAGCATATCTTTGTGTTTCCCAGCAGCTAAACCGAAAACTTTCTGGGAGTCCAGGGTTGAAACAGAGAACGCCAATATATGGTCTGGACTGTTTGTTTGGATTTTAAATTGAAGCTCGTTGTACACATATGTTCATTAGTTGTTCACAACTATTTACAAAATCTCTTAAGTGTGTTAAACTTTGTATTTTGATACTCATTGTTTGTAAACTGGTCCCTATAGCAAGAAAAAAACTCCCAGCAAACCCCATCATTAACTCAGGACTGCATTCTAAGTAGATGTAGAGCTAGTTTTATAAAATCAGAAAATGTATGCATGTTTTGTAGTTATTTCTATCATCAAAGTTTACTCAGGCTTAAAGAGTTTTTGGCAATGAACTTAAGCCTAGCCTAAGACAGCATGCAAATAAAGTAAATACTCTTTGGTGCTGAAAGCCATCTACATGGCCTTCATTCATATGACAATAAAACTGGTGTCTATAAAATAGAGCTATAAATCTACCTTAAAAAAAAAACTTTTTGTTTCTGGGAGAATTAAATGGGTATCAACAAAGAGAATCACTTTTACATTAGTAAATGAAAGAGAAATTACGCTTTTACCTAGTGTAAATCATAGCTTTCTTCAAAACTGCTAAGTACCAGTCTAACTTTTCTGTCCAGGTTTACTTTAATGTTCACTTCAAAATCATCCCTGGCTGTCACACTTTCTTTCTACCTTAGCTGAGATTAGAACAGGAAGAGAAATTGCTGGAATGCAAGACAGTGGTCTTACTTGGAACTGAATAGCTCTCTCACTTGGAGAGAAATAGCTCTGGAGAATGAATAAATTTGCAAAATTTCTATTCTGATTCATTGGCTTACAACAAATGCTCTTCAGAGGGGCACCCCAACTATCAGATGTGTATCAAGACTACAGAGGACATAAAAAACGCAGGCGCCTAAGCTTTGATCTTCATAGGTATTCAAATTCCTAGTTTGCACTGATTTCATGAGGTGTTAAGTGCCTTTTGTAAATCTGGGCAAATTTTTTTAAGTCAGAAACTACATGCTCTCTGTATCTTTAGAAATTTCCATTTAATTCTGTGAGATTCTCTACCATGTATTTGTGGTAAATATCTTAGATATGGTGTTACATAATTCTGTCAAACTTAATTGCTATCTTGCATTAAATCCACTGAAGTATGTCGGCTGGTAGCATCAGACTCCTTGCCCTACTTTTTTCAATATGTACATTCCTCTAAATCTTCTTTTAAAATCCTTGAATCAAGTTAAGAATTACGTTTAAAAAATGATTTTTTGTTCTAAAGCCACAGAAAATCAAAAGATTACATGTTAGTATGGGAAAGGGTCCAGCGCAGGGACAAATGTGAGTAGTTTTCAGTCAGTAGATGCCATTTTATACCACCTGGCCCCCAAATTTTGCCAGCTGTAAGACCTTTGCACTGCAGAGGAAACAGAGCCAAAAGAGTTTTTTCAGCACTCCAGAAGAAACTGTCTGCAAAGCTATTCTGCATCAATGGAATGGGTATTCATCTTTTAATACTAGTTAAGTGTACAGATTGCCTACCTGGAGTGTAACCCCAGGGTTCATAGTATGATGGAAATACACCAAGGTGGCAGCCTCTAACAAACTCCTCATAGTCCAAGGGCAGCAATGGGCTTGTTGAAGAAAGAAACTCTGGATGTAGGATCACCTGGATATTCAAAACTTACATTAGAGGTGAAAGAAAACCATCATCAATACATTTTAATTATCAATAAGCTTAAGCAATTTCTTCACTCTGGTCTT